CTGGTAGCTCCCTTCAACTAATAAACCAAACTGGACGTCTAGGCTTCCGCCGGGTCTGATAAAAAGCGACCCTCCCCTCTGGTGGCCTCACAAACCAGGGCTTTGGGTTGTGGCTTTGCTGCTCTTCTCCTCGACTTATACGCATCGCGAGCGCACGCTCTTTCGCATTGGACGCGGCAAACCTGGACTCTTTGCACGCCGTAGCCTCGCCGGGTCGCTCCCAATGGACGGCGAAGAGCCAACGCAGGGTAAGATGACGCCGGAGCCGTTCGTTCACGGCGCTCCTCTCGAAACGAAACGCTGACATTTCTTCTTCTCCTCGCAGCGACGCAAAACGTCCTCGACCCCCGCCGGGTGGGCAAGCAGAACTCGGGCTTTTCCGACGAAGACATCTCGGACATTGTCTGCGTGCTGTACCCGCACTCCGAGTGCGCCCGCAACGAGGTCCAGCAGCTGGCCAGGATCGGGTCGCCCTTCATCATCGGTAAAGAGGAGGCCGACGGCGTCGAGCCCGACTACGACCTCGAGGACCACCCGAGCCGCTTCGAGTCCGACCCGACCAACCATGGCAACTACGCCATCCTGCTGCGGCTGTCGAGCCAAGCCAAGAACCCTGCGCTGGGCTACGTCTTTGGGAGGAACAATGCGAGGTGCGACGTCGTCTTCGTCAACGACCCGCTGCGGAGGATCAGCAACATCCACTTCCGCATATACGTCAACGAGTACGGCATCGTCATGATCGAGGACAAGTCCACCAATGGCACCTTTGTCGACGACAACCTGCTCACTTCTCGCCCCAAGGAGGAAGGCAGGCCGCCCATTACGAGGTGGACGTTGAGCTCGGGGTCCATCATCTGCATCTATCTTCACAATCACATGAACGACCTTTCCTTCCGAGTTCGAATCCCGCGCCGTGACGGCGAATACGAGAGGGCATACGCGCGCCAGGTCGAGGAATACTTTGCTCGCCACGCCTTGCAGGTTGAGACCATCACCACGGGGCCTGGAGGTCATGTCGACTTATTCAGGACGGCTCAGGCGGCTCAGCAGACTTCGCCGCGGCGCCTGGAGCGCCAGCCGTCTGATCAGCGTTCCCCCTCAAAGCCCAAAGATACCCGAGCTGTGCGACGAGAGTGGACCGGATCCGGCAAATACAACAGGATAGGCATGATTGGCAAGGGAGCTTTTGCCGTCGTTTACAAAGTCACATCCAAGTATGACGGAAAGCCGTACGCTGCCAAGGAGCTCGAGAAACGCCGCTTCATTAAGAATGGAGTGCTGGACCAAAAGGTGGAGAATGAGATGAAGATTATGCGCAAGGTGCATCATGTAAGTCGTGCTTTTTCAAACCACCCATCATGGCTGTGGTTGGCTGACGTTGAATCCCTTAACAGCCCAACATTGTGCGATACATGGAAAACTTTGACTGGGACGATCGACTTCTCATCATCATTATGGAGTTTGTGCCTGGAGGGGATCTTGGAAAACACATCGTAGATTATGGCCCATTTAATGAAGAAGACTCAAGGACAATGGCCCAGCAGCTGCTGAGTGCGCTCGCTTACTTACATCGCAATAACATCACCCATAGAGACGTCAAGCCAGACAACATATTGATCAATACGCTTCAGCCCCTGGACGTCAAGCTCACCGATTTTGGCCTTTCAAAGATGGTGGACACTGAGCAGACATTCCTCAGGACCTTTTGCGGCACGCTGCTCTACTGTGCGCCAGAGGTGTACACCGAGTACGTGGAGTACGATGACAACGGCATCAGGAGTAGAGGGAAAAAGGCTCGCCGTGTGCCGGGCCAAAGGTACAACCATGCCGTGGATATCTGGTCTCTAGGTGGCGTCCTCTTTTATTCGATGACGGGGCAACCTCCATATCCAGTCAAAAGCGGCATCAGCTATTCCGAATTGCTGCATAAAATCATGACGGAGATGCTGGACATTCGACCGTTGGATCAATATTCCATTTCCTCTAGCGGTATTGACTTCCTCTGCCGCATGCTTCAGAGAAGACCGGAGAACCGTGCGACAGTAGAGGAGCTGGATGACCATCCATGGCTAGCCGGTACAACCATTGAAGCCTCGCAGTCGTTTGATGAAATTACCGACGACGAAGACTACTTGGATCCGCCGCCCAAGTACCAGACACACGTGTACCAGACATACGATCACGTGGATGACGATGACCGAGTGAGCGATTCCATGGGGGAAGAGGAGGAAGAGGGGGGCAATGGAAAGGGAAAAGGAAAGGAGAATGGCAACAATACCTTTGGCCGAGGCACGCAGCCTCCTCGCCTCTTTGGAGAAGTCGGGGCTTCCGCCTTTGCCAACTCCGGAGCCGTACCGGAGCAGCATCTCAACCTGCCCGTCACGAACAGGAACGGAGTGAGCGGCAGCAGTGGTGGCAGCAGCAGCAATTTCGAAGGCCAAGTAGACGAGGCTTACGATTCTGGCGATTCTGCCGCAACTCTCGTTAAGCACCGCCGTATCTTCCGACAAGACACAAGCGTGTCGATTGCCCACCATCAGTCTGCTGACCAGCTGCAAAGCCTAGTGGAAGAGGTTGCTTCACAAGACCTGAATGGCACCGGATCGGTAATAAGACATGTGGAATCGTCGTCACTCTACTTGACTGCAGCATCAATGGACTTTAACACGAGCAAACGCAAACCCCCGTCGGTCGAAGCCAGCGACGAGTTTGATAGCACGCCTACCGGGAAGCCCACTATCAAAAGGCTAAAGTCCGAGCTGTACACCGACGACCTTTCCGAAGAGGCCATTGAGGAGTGTAAGCTGCTGGCCCGCATGCCGCCCATTCAGAGATCGGGATCTGGCCGCCAGATCGACGGGCCGGTAAGCAAGCAGCTTTTTTGGGAGCAAGACCGCAAGACGTGGCACCTCAATTATCCCGAGATGACGCAGCTCCAATACCAGGCGTTTGTCCAGGCTGCCCGCGACAGAGGCGAGCAATTCAGTCCAGGCAAGACGCCCTTGTGGAGCTTGGCTATGAAATACTTCCCGCCTGTTGGCCCGGCGGAGAGGCAAAATGGCGGAATCAACTCGCCGACTGTGGGACAATCTCCCGACGAGGACGTCGCCATGGATTTCCCTCCAACCGCCGTACAGCCTGATGAGGACGCTGAGCCTTTCATCCCGGATTCGCAGAATCTCGTGGTTCCCGTGCAGAAAGAAACACAGGCCAGAGCCATTGGCCTGATCGAACCCGATAAGAGCTCCTGCATTCAGGGGATATCGTGTCCCATGACGGACTCGCTAGTATCGTTTGGCCGTGGCCTGGAAAACAGCATCATCTACGAGCAAAGGACCGACACGAGAGTGCCAAAGTACGCCTTCAAGATTCTCCTATGGAAAGAGGGCTATGATCCCGCCAAGGACACGACCAAGACGCCTCCTCCCTGGGCCAGGGACTCTACACCGGACAAGGACTCCTACTTCTGCTGGATCTCATCCAAAGCCACCAACGGGATCCATATCAACGGACATGCCCTCCCATCTTCCGATGTAAAGAATCCTGCAGCAGCCTCAGTGTACTGGGCCAAGCTCTACGCCGGAGACACCCTCCTCGTATGGGGCACCCCCGACGCCAAACTCCAGACAAAGCTCGTCTTCCGCTGCTTCTGGGGCGGCTCGGCTCGCCCGCGGCCGGACCAGCAGAAGCCCGAGCTCGAGTTTGCAGACGCCTCCCTGGCCGAGAAGCTCGACGCCGCCTGCCTGCGCACGGAGAAGCGCGTCCGCGACGTCGGCGAGAAGCTCGCCGAGAAGCGCAGCAGGATCAACGACGCCAAGGCCGAGGACCGGGAGCGCGTCCGCCGCATCGACTTTGAGCGCGAGAGGAGCCACGCCTTTGAGCGGAACCGGCTCGAGGCCATCGAACTGCTGGCCTCGAGGCAGACCTCGTCGAGGAAAAGCTCGCCTGCCAGCGTGACGCCGACTACTTTGCATTCAAACAGGCTGCAGTCGACCATGATTCGGCTGAGTCCGGAGAAGGATACCTCGCGGTCGGTGCGATGAGCGGGTGATTTTACCATTTGCGCCCAGCGTTACTATTTCTATGCCATTTTCTTCTTCGATTTTTCATTTCCCATCTCCTTTTTGTGTTAGTGGTGTACACCATTAAAGAAAAAAGCCATGTAAGCAACGCGTGAGCGAGCATCATGCCTTTCTATTTCCATTTCCTTTTCCATCTTTGCTTATTTTCTTCTGTCATCTGGTGCTTTACATCTACTTTGGGAAAAAAAGCTGTCTGTGTCTGTACTCATGTGGAAATGAATTTGGGTTCCCTTCTCTTCTTTTTTATCAGATGAGCAAGAAAACAGGGACGTATGAGTTGGATGGGCTGGGACGGGCTGGACGGAAGGGGGGGGGGGCAAGGAACTTGTCGGAGGGAACATTCTCGCGGCCCAGGCTGCATTTTTCTTTTTCATTGACTGCCATGCGCGTATTTATGCATAACATGGGCATCTTACTATATCGGCGTTGCAAATCTCAGTATAATTAGACCATTTAGCTAATGCAATCTCAACTTAAAATCGAGATCTCGCTACCTCATTTACCTTTGTTGTTGATACCAACAAACATTTCCGACTCCCTTTCCTGGTCAGTAAGATGAATGCTAATCGCGCTCAGACGATAGTCTCAGGCTTCTCCTAGCTATATTGCTTCCCATAATGTCGATCCTCCTCCCCTTTGACAAGTACTAGAATACCGCTCTTCCCTTGGCCATGACAGCAAGCAACGACGTTGATACATGTGTGCCAAGTTTCAGAAAATAAGAAAAGAAATAACAACGCAATAGCAACGTGGGTGTGTAAAAAACATCGTGTAGAAACCGTGAAAAAGAAGAAAAGTTCATACAAATCAGACGTGGTTCATCCACAGCAACAATGGGCATCATAGAAGAGGAAATAAACGTCAAAACAGCAAATGTAAATTGCCCACCTACCCCAACTTTGTAAATCCCTCACAAATCTACTCGGGAGGTGACATATCACCGCTGTTTTTGCAGGGCGTGTTCTCCTTGTCAGACTCATCGTCCAACTTGGTTTCGGGCTCAACAAGATCAGTAATGCCCTCTGCTGAATCAGGCGATGAGCTAGTGGCAAGATTGCTGACAGATGCAGGAGAAATGTCGATGTCATCAAACTCTGTGAATAGTTAAAAATGAAAACTTGATACGAGTGACGCAGCGTTATCAACTTACCAAGCATGTTGGACTTTTTCCCTGGCGAGCTCTCTGGGGAATCTGGTTCCTCTATGATAGGCTCGGGAATCCAGTATGGCGTCGGCTTGGGCAATTTTGTTGCACTTTGGTAGTCCTTTGCCCACTTGCCAGGAGTGCGATGGGTCCGGGTGCCGAAAAAGCAATAATCATTTATATCGGGAAAGGTTCGTTTGCGAGGTTCATAGTAAGGATTACTGCTGGGCTGAGAGTAGTCACTAAATGCACTCTGACTGAACGAAGAATCGTCTTGCATTGTGTGGCACTCAGCGTCAGACCGAGAAGAGAAGTTGCTCCAGGGGGACGTCTTTTTGAATGTGGACTCTGCTTTTGGATCTCCTCCAAATGGAGATGTGTAGTACCTCCAACTATTCCCGGACGATCCTGGGGCACCTTGAGATTGAGAGCCGGAGCTTGGTGAAAGGGGAGACTTTTGCGATTCTCTTTCCTTCGTGGTGTCGGCATCTGTTGGGTTGAATGTATTGTCAGTGGTGCGAAGCGGTGGAGGGCCATTTTCGGCCCCATTTCCGCCTCTGGAACCATAATTGAAAGTAGAGTGGCCACCTGGCTGGAATCCTTTGAAACCTTCCGTCGTGGGACTGGGAGATGTGGTAGACTGATATGCAGCGGGCCTCGAATACCAAAAATCTCCTCCAGTGTTGGACGTAGGGGGCATCCACGAACTTGCTGGGCTGTCCTTGGAAAAAGCTCCTCTGTAGCTTCTTTCTGGTATGGCTTCCACGTATCCGTCCTCACCAGCAACAGAAGACACCTTGTGAGAACCTAGCGCTCTTGGGTAATACCCGTTTTGGGATTTCACTGGCGAAGTTCCGTATATACCCACCCGACTTGGTATGGTATCATCGTCAGGCTTGATATCTTCTTCAAGAATCTTGGCATGCGATGAGGCATTGCTTGATGTTCGGGAATCCGAGAGACGAATATCAACTTTTGGCCTAAATTTCACAGACTTGCTCCCGGTAGATTGGGCTGAATCGTCGGTGGAAGTGTGCCCTTCCGTAGAATCGTCGGATACCTCTTGAGAAATTTCAGGGCTGTGATCTTTTGCAGAGCGATGAAGACAACTACTCTGAGGATCTCGTCCGCTAGGTGCCGTTGAATGAAATTGATGGCCCCTATCCGGCTTCTTTGCTTCTTGGATGGGCGAAATAACATCTTCAACATAGGGAGATTGATATCTTGGCGTAGTCGGAGTATCGGGAGAGCTGCAGTATTGACTTCCTGGGCTAGTAAGGGGGCTTCTCTGTGCGCGTCTTTGGGATGCTCCAGTATGGCGAACTGGATAATATGGAGAGTCGGGTGAAGAGTTTGAAGAGCTCAACTGGGGGCCGCTTGTGGAAATCTTGAGCGTGTGTGGCATCTTCTTTCTTCCATAAGAATCAATCTTGTCGCTGTCATCGCCAGGAGCCGAGTTCAACAAGATGTTGGATTGATTGTCATTGTTGCTCAATCCTTCCTTTGAGTTAAACGAATCAACATGCTTGTAATTCTGAAATTGACCGCCGGTTGCATCCAAGTGTGCGTAATTGCTTGAGGACCGGTATTCTGGGGCCTGTACTTGGTTATTATTTCCGTCTTAAACCGACGCCTTTGTGCATCGTGGGTCAAAATACTTACAAAATCAACTACGGAGAAGTCTGCAACAGTCTCAGCTGACCGGATCTCTTCAACACATATCGAGCAATAGTTAGGAAAGGGCTTATCCTCCTTCGAAATCGGGTGATTCTGATGGAATTCCTTGGATCTGGCAGTGCCACAGCCATAGCAAAAATGATGTTCCAAAATCCCCTTCTCAACTTTGTCTTCAAAGCAGTCTTCACAGTAGTTCTTGGAAGGCCTTTGTCCTGGAACGACAGGGCGCTTGCTGTGATAGTCGGAAGAGCGAACCTTGCCGCAGCCCGTGCACAAGTGATGGCGAATTTTCCTTTTAGGGCTCCTCTCCTGCTGTGTGGTCGTGAGTTGAGACATGGGGGACATCATTGTCAAGTCATGAGACTTGGAGACATCCGAGGCTTTGGATTCCTTCTGGCGTTCCGTACCCAATAAAGAGTTCAGCCGAGTGTTGAGTTCAGTCTGCAGAGCTGACAGGTTACCCTTCAAGGTAGCATCATCCGGGTTCTGTGAAAGCTTCATCACAACTTCGTCGAGATCGCTTTGAATATATTGAACTTGCTGAGAAATTAGGTTGCGCGGCTGTGGTGTTGTCATGGTATTGGTAGAGGGCAGTGGGCTCATGGGAAAAGGTACATATTGATTACAGCCAAAAGTAGAATCATTGCCAACAGTAGAGTAGAATTGTGTCTGAGGGTACACAGAAGCCGTGGGAAAAGCAAACATGGGCTGATAGAATTGCTGCGGTTGAGCTCCTCCGCCAATGTGAAGCTGAAGAGGCCTGGCAGAAGCGTCTGAAGCAGCGATATTAGCGGCTTTTTGAGAGTGCTTAGACGTGGCACGAGGAAAGGTAGCTGAAGATGGTATGGAAAAAGCAGGAGAAGGAGCTCTCAGAGAGGCTGGGCTTGAGGACGACCTCTCACGAGACTTGGGGGGCTTGGAAGTCTCCCGTTTCGAAAGTCGACGCGTAAGTAACGGCATTTTGGCCTGGTCAGGTGTTTTCTGAGTATCTTTCGGAGAAGGGGCTCGTCGGTCATTCTTCTTTTCCTTGGCCTGCTGTTGCTGCCGAGGCTTGGATGATTTTCGGGCTTTTGGCGTCTCATCAACATCTTGAGTGTCTGATCTTTTGCCATCTGCTTGAGAGACAGTCGAGGACTCGGCCTCGCTAGATTCGTCTTCGCCAGCGTCATATTGAATCCTGACGCTCTGTGTGTGGATCTGGCTCTGGTCTGCCACTCTGTCTGCACGTTCAAAATCGCGGCGCGTGGGCAGGTTGAAAGCAAGGCTGAGGAGATCAACTCCATTGTCATCAGCTGGGTTCCTGCGCCGATTTTTCTTGCTACCACCCATCGTGCCGGAATCTGAAAGTGAGACAAGGAAGGTTTATAGAGAAGACGTGATTTGGAAAACAAAGAAGCGACGGATTTGAAGAGAAGAGAATATGTTTGGTTGAAAAAGAAGTTGGGAGAGGTGGGAAAAGAAAAGAGAGAGAAGAGGGAAGAGGGAAGAAAAAAGTGAAAGTGAAGTGAAGAGGAAAAGAGCGGGCGTGACTTGGGATGAAAACGCGCCTGGCCTTGAAGATGCGCTATAGCAACAATATTCTGCCAGCTGGCAAGCCCGTTGCTCCTGCAGCTGCCAACATTGGTAGCTAAAATTATGCAAACACGAAGGCATGATCGGGAGAGCTTCGAAGAGTGTTCAGTCGAAGGTTGGATGAAACAATTGGGAGACACTCTGGTGCCTCATCAAAGTTGTGCATCTAATGCGTTCCATCTGTTGACAACTCGATAGACATCGATCTTGGGTTGATTCTGCGGAATAGGGGTAAATCACATACACCATACCAAAGGCAGATGGGCAGAGCATTAACTGTTGCTATTTCATCTATCACAAGCTACAATCAAGCAAACAAACATAGGCCATCAGCAATCGCTCCGAAAAGACTGGCATGCTTTTTTTTGCAAACAATGAAATTGATGTACATTCTAGACCATCTTTTGCCTAGATATATTGGAGCACTCAAGCCATGATTCTTTTTGTTGGCTCCTGTTGGCCCCCCTTAGATATCTCTCCGTGATATCACATTTTATCTTTCTAATCCACGCGAAGCACGCGGGCGCCCCTCTTCTTGGTGGGCTTCTTCTTCTTCTGGCCGCGCTCAAACGCGGCAGCATTAGCATGATCACGGCCAATGTTATCCAAGTCCTTGACCTTGTAGATACGGATAATCCAGTTCTCGCTGGTAAAGGCCTCCTCGAGCGTGTTGAGAACAGGTCCCTGGTCGGGAATTCGGACGCCTCGGACTCTATCAGCGGCCTGTCCCGCGGGAAATAGAGAGGCGTAGTTGTAATACGACATCTTGTACCTGTGCTTCTTGTTAGAAATCAATGGCTTCCATCCAGCTTTCATTACTCCCACTTACATTAAGCTGTTCTTCATGGTCTCAGTGGCACCTTCATCAACGCGGTACTCTCCCTGGGGGGTAAAGAAGTCTCGCTCCTTGACCTCATCAGGCCAGATACCTTCAGCGATTCGGACCATCCACAAGAACTTGTTGATATCGTCACCAGAGTAGCCCAGGAGGGCACCGAACACGACGAGAACATAGTCGACCTCGTGCTGTCTCATGATGGGGTAGCTGACTTCCTCCCTGGAGCTCATGGCCTTGCCAACGGTGGCAATGTGGGTGTTGTTCCAGGTGTTGTTGTCAACCAACGTAGGTCGATCGGCCATGCCACCAATCTGGTAGCCGTAATCCCACCAGGACATAACCTTGGCATCCTCCTTGGTGTTTTGGCGCAACCACTGGTAAGCCTCTCGGTAATCATCAATGATGTGCTGGCTTCCATCCGGCATACGGCTGGCAAGGACCACTGAAGGCGAGGAGTAGGCGTTGGACGTCACCCAAGTGCAGTGAGAGACAAACATCAAGAGGTAGACGAGCATGGATCCGGATACCATGACCTTGGTGAGGTTGCTGTAGATTCCGACATTGGGCTTATCGCTGCCGCGGAGACCACCCTTGACCTTCTTGGGGGCTTCTTGCTCCTCGACAGGAGTAGCTGATTTCCATGAGAGGTAGGTGTCGAGAATCTGAGAGGCAGCCATGGCGGCGGCAACACAGACGACGGGGGTCAGTGTAAGCATCAGACGCACCATGACACCGGCAAAGTAGCTTCCGAAGAGGGCGTACACAACGACAAAAACATGCTCATCCTTGAGATCCTGGAAGCACAGATAGACACCAGCGGGGAAGAGCCAGATGAGAAAGTTCAAGTCGAAGAAAAAGGAGGGCCAGGCGGTAGGCTGGTGCTCAGAGACGGAGGCAATGATGGGAATGTGAATCTTGGCATAACCGGTATCCCACAGAGAGTAGAAACGTCCGCTCCAGGGAGCAACGTAGCCCAGAGAAGTGAGGGCGACGAGACCCAGCAGACCCAAGCCAAACGTTGCCACGAGGATGGTGACAAGGAAGGTTTGGAATTGACGGCCAGAAATGGCAGATCGCACGTATTGGATGAAGCCAATGAGCTGGATGAAGCCAAAGATGCCTATGCAAATGATGTTAGCGATCCATGCTCAAGTTGCTTGATATCATGGACGAAGGATGTTCATACCCAGGGCGGGCATATGCTCGCTAGTCTTGATTGGCAGGAAGCCGACGAAAGGAATCTGCATGCTGGCCAACGTTCCCAGAGCATACCAGGTGGTGTAGCTGACATAGAGGCGCGTGCTGTAGCGGCCCATTGCGATCAGGACCAGCGCATGGACAGGCAGCAAGCAGGTAATGAAGGCGTATCCACCCCAAGAGGCCACCATGTATCCGTAGAAGAGCGCGCAGAGAGCTCCCCACAGCATGGAGCCCAGCTTCAGGGCCTTGATCCACAGGTAAAAGGTGAAGACGAGAAGGAAGATGGCAATGGCCTCGTTATCGTAGCTGCCGGCGACGGATCTGGAGATGTAACCCGGCGCAATTCCCATGAAGACGGCAGCCAAGAGACCGGCAGATGGCGATGTGGTCATTTCGTTGGTGAGGAGATACGTGGCAAACGCAGTCAAGCCTGAGCAGGCGGGCGCAAGCAGGACGCAAATGTTGCGGATGTCGACTGGAATTGTGAGGGTCCTGAGAGCGTGGTAGATGGCGCCGCTGGTGACCATGAGGCCGGGGTACAGGGTGCCTCCGGTAACTCGACCGAGAGGGTGCCATGTCCGGTCGTCAAACCAATCCCAGAACTTGTGGAAGCCATTGGCGACGAGGTACTTGGTTGCTCGGAAGTTGAACCAGGGATCAACTAGACGATTGTTGTCAGTATGGTGAGTAAGTGGCATCGGGGCGAGTCGTCGTGCGCTTCTACGTGGAGAGGGCATAGAGAGGGCAGGTAGGTATAATAGACTAACATTCGTGGATGATGCTTTCAAATCCTAAAGATGGTGGGTTAGCCAAGCTGTTTCCTCTGATATATAGCGCCACGACTGCAATTGGACGTGGCAATGGCTGCAGCATCGCAGCATCGCAACATCCATCGCAACTGGAAGAGTAGCCAGGCTGGCTTACGTATAACAGAGAAGAGACGGCTGGAGATGGCCGCCGCTGCAATGAAGCAGAGAATGACAACCCGAAGCAGCGTCCGAGTGCTTTCCGTAGTGTAGCCTACGGCGGGCCCTTTGGTTTTTGCCGCCATTGTGGCTACGGTACTGGTGTGGAAGATGAATCTCCGGGGGCGTTGTTGGAGATTCTTCGTCCCTGCTGAAGCCGCGCTCAGACTGCTGAGGACAGCTTGGAGCTTAAGGTGCTACGTATGTCAAGACATTGTGGGGCTGGCGCGGGCTCCGGTGTTTTGCCGAGGGGAGCATGGCATCGCAATCACACAAGATGCTGTAAGCATGTATCTCAAGCTTCAGCTTCATGCCTGGGTGAAGAGAAGACGTGTGTGTTTGAACCTGATTATGGAATGCGCTGTTCTTTTTGCGAGGTACCAATACTAGCACGCTTGGCCATGGGCGTTACTGTTCTTCTCAGTGAAAGCACAAAAAGTGCAAAAGAGGAAAAAGAGCCACCACATCCGTGGGTGCGGATTATCGTTCCACCACATTACTGTGCATATCAACACCAGCCATGAGAAGCCTCATGTTAATAGTCGCAGCATGTCGCTCGCTCGTATAATGCAATTGGAAGCCATTCAAGCATTCTACTCTTCCTCACGACGTTGCTGATGCTCTTGTAAACTTTTCTTTTAGCTTTTGAATCGTCTAATTGCGCATATTTTTACATAGTACAGTTCACCAAACAAATGACCCCGGGAAACCTCTATGCAGCGGCGCCATGTGTAGTTTCAAAAATATACACTGCCTTTGCAGTCTGTGGTGTCTCATTATGCCTCGCAGGGCTTTTTTGGGTCTCCGTGACGGCCACGTTTTCTTCGCCCGCCAGCATCTCTCTCATTTTTTTCTTTTCGACAACGCTTCCTTGCTCCTCACCCCTCCATCAGTCCACGTTTTGGTTTCGTCAAGGGCTCTCCTTGGCGATCTTCAGCAGGTACTTCTCGAGGTCAAATTCAGGGCTGTTGACATCGGTAGCGGCTGTCCCAGAGTTAGCTTTGCTGACAAAATCCCCAGAATGCGCTTCCATGTTCCCCCCCCATCCCCTGCGTTGCTAGAATAACCCCACGGGAGAAAGGGGACAAGTTGCGATGCCACAGTGTCTTCGGATCAAGCGTACCATCGTTTGCTGCTGCCGCGACGGGGCTGTTCTTCTTTGCGTACTCGGCCTTGGCCTGGTCTATCAGCTTCTGCTTCTGCTCGTACTCGTGCTGCGCGTGCTGAGCTCGCTGTGTGGTGGTGATAGTGCGCTGGTGGGAGAAGCCGTAGAACACGCCAAAGGCGAGGGCGGACCACCGGAGGACCTGGAAGTTGATCAATCAGACTTGCGTCGCCAAACGAGGGCCAATTGCACGCGAGCAACGCAGGATCGAGGCCGATGCGGGAAGGCTGTGGTTGGGCACTGCGAGGATAAGACTGCAACGTACGTTGACTCCTGTTGACGACATGGTGAATTTCGCACGTCGCGCGGCTGCTTCAGGCAGGAATCGGGGAGTGAGGGAGGATCTGGGGGGGTCGACAATGGCCGTCGATGAACCCTGTCGAGAGTGGCTCGAGGGAATTGTTGGCGTCGGCTGGGATGAAGATTTGAAAATGTCCTCGGGAAAAGTCGCAGTTTTTCCAGGCCCGGACGGCCGCAGCTGGTCCGGCTGTCTCTAGGCCTGTGCCATCGCTGCGGTCACGTGCAGCCAGCGGCTCTGGTGCTGGAGCTGCTCCACGCCCGATAAGCTCAATGGCAATCGCCTCTAGCTGCCGATACAGACCAGTGCCATTGATATTACGGTGTACGGAACATTCATTATTCATTAGAGGAGGAAAAGGAGTGGGCAGATTGGCCGACCAGAGCGCAATCCCCTGTCGTGATTTTACTTAATCCTTTTCCTTCTTATCCCTCCAACTACTTAGGCCTGTCTTTTCGAACCCCGCCCTCGCCCTCGCCCTCGTCAATCGCCGTCTTCGCTGAGTGGCGCCGTGGCTTGACCTCCCTCCCTCCTAATCCCTTCGCATCTGGCTTCACCTCCTGTTCTGGCGAGTCCCGCCATGGGACTTTGGGACCATCACCATGCAGCAACGTCGAGATGAGATTCTTGCCAAAAAGGCGAAGCTCGCAGAGCTTAAGCGCCAGAGGGAGCTTCGGGCTACCAGCCAGACGCCGTACAATCGCACTGGCATGAGCTCGCCCAGTGAGGTTTGTTCTCTCTCCGTCCGCCACCCGGTTTCGCGTCCGCTGATGGTTCTGCTCTGTCACAGCTAGTATCACCGACACCACGAGGAGACAGCCGCCGCGAGATCGAAACCCTCATTGACAGCTTGGTCGGTAGTAGCAGGCCCAGCTCGATTGGGACGGGACCCCCTGGATCGCCCGCGCATCGTGGAAGCAGGCCGAATAGTGTGCTCAGTGGCGGTGAAATCAGCAATGTGACTTCTGAATGGACAGCTTCCTTCACTGGACAAGGCGGACAAGCTACACCGGGCCCTACACCTGTGACGCTGAGCCTTTCGACGGTCCCCCTGACAACCGTCTACGAATGCCCGCCGAGTCCTGTCAAGGAAGTCTTTTCCTACAGCAAAGGTGTACAGACTACAGATGAATGGGCCACCCCTACTAGGACAAGGGCTCAGTCGATGGCGTCCGATGCAGATGATTTCATGGGTCCGACTTCAACGCCGAACAAGAGGCTAAGCAGGAAGGAGCGTGACCGAGAGGAGGAGCTGCGCCAAAAGATTAGGTTCGAGGTGGAAGAAGAGCTGCGAGCGACCAAGGAGCTTTTGGCCGAAGGCGGTACCGCGGCGCAAAACTTTTCCTCAACCAACTATCCCATCAGAGAACTTACCGCTGAAGAGCTGGAAGCCGTCACTCACTCGGACGAGTTTGTAGATTTCCTAGAGCAGTCGACAAAAGTTATTGAAAGAGCCCTGGACCAAGAGACATATGATATCCTCACCGACTACGCCCTGCATGGCAAGGACCTCGAAGACAAGGATGAAGAAAGCGGCAACTCGGGAGGAAAAGGAGGACATAGAGTCAAGGAGGTGGTGCAATTCTTCGATGATCGTTGGTCTAAAAAGCGAATGATTAGCGGGATAGATTTCTCACCCAAGTTCAATGAACTGGTACTCGCATCCTACACCAAGAACCCGACAGCGCCCCACGAGCCGGACGGGCTCGTCCAGGTCTGGAACATTCACATGCACAATCGGCCGGAATACGTCTTTACCGCGCAGTCCGACATCCTTACTGCAAAATTCTCACCCTACCACCCAAATCTCATCATTGGCGGCTCGTATAGCGGCCAAGTCTTGCTATGGGATACTCGAGCAAAGTCTGCACCGGTCCAGAAGACGCCATTGACGGGCTACGGCCATGCCCACCCAATCTATTCGGTGGACATTGTGGGCACGCAAAATGCCAACAACATCATATCATGTTCTACCGATGGCGTTGTCTGCGGCTGGAGCATGGATGTATTTGCGCAGCCCCAAGAGCTGCTTGAGTTGAAGAACCCCAGCCAGGCCAAGGTGGCGGTTGAGGACGTCAGCCCTACATCCCTATCGTTCCCTCAGACGGACCCGACATTCTTCCTCGTTGGAAGCGAAGAGGGAACAATATTCCCCTGCCACAGATATGACCGCGCCGGTGCCAAGGCCGGCGTCGACAAGAAGATTAGCTACAAGGGACATGCGGCACCTGTCATGTCGGTTGACTTCCACCCAGCCAGGGGCCCTGTGGATCTCGGTGACTTGGCCATTTCATCCTCTCTTGACTGGAGCGTCAAGCTCTGGAAGATTCGTGCTCCCGCGGCCACATCGACAATTGGAGCTGGCGATGGCGCTATTTCACCACTGATCGATTTTGTCCGCGAGGACGTCGTCTACGATGCAAGATGGTCGCCTGTGAAGCCCAGTGTCTTTGCCCTCGTAGATGGAGCTGGCTGGCTGGAGTTCTGGGACATTGCGATAGACACAGAGGAACCGGTGTCGAGAATAACACCGAGTAGCCGACAGGATGGAAGGACAATGCTATCCAGGAGCTTGAACAAGCTGGCTTGGGAGCCCAACGATGGCAAACGTATCGCAACCGGTGGCATCGACGGTTCTCTCACCGTCTTCGAAGTGGCTAGTGGCTTGGGCGGCAAGGAAGGACTCAAGAATGAGGAATGGGCAAATGTGAAGAAGCTTGTCAACCGGGTGGAAGCCGTGGGCATGAATGGGGCGATGATGGTTTAGCATTTTTTTCCTTTCCTTTTTGTTTACTGGCACGCATGGCACCTTAATTTTTCTTGGAACCCTGACCTGTGCAATGATTGATGAAGGTGAGCTTATATATGTATACCCCTAGACAAGTGTGAGGTAAAAAAAAAAATGGTAATGGCAACGGACTGTCGTTTACACATTTCATATTCATACAGTATCAGTTGTATGTCTTTTCTGCTATTTCCTCTGCCTTTATTAGAGTCAGACACGGGTTGTGATGGAAGAGCATGTACGACGTCACGCCTCCTCTTTTACACTTCCACCTTGTCCCCCAAATAGAAGATTTGTATCACCAAGCACTACTGTCCATCCATTGCACTTCTCGATCAATTGCCTTGGTTCATATTTGCCTTTGTCGTATACTTTGATCCAACAGTTCTGCCAATATACTTTCTGTCCCTTTCCTTCGGCAACTGTTGGGCTTGGTCTAGCCTTGAAGAAGTCAAAAGATTCAGGAAGCTCATTTATAATTAATGATGACTAGAGACATATTAGACCAAAATTCAAGTATCGATACGAACCGTACCGTGATGACTCAAACACTCTAAAGTCAAATCAGTATTGTGGTAGATCTAGGTAGATGATCGAGAAAGGCGCTGGAGCTGGTGCAATAGAAGGTACCTAGTGATCAAGATCTGCGAATATGCCACCTATTGCGCGTATAAATACTTGTAGGGACACCGGATTTAACAGGCTTGACTGGCTTGACTACCTACTAAACTTGGGCAGAAATGGGCATCACCAAACGAATTTTCGGGCAGCTGCATATATAGGTAGGTAGATGTAGGCAATCCTTGAGAATTGTTACATGACGTAATGTATGAGCAAAGGAAGCGGAGGTTAGAAAAAGCGGCATCGCAGGATCAATAAGTGCATACATTCAGCAATATATGCACTCAATCAGGTCATTCAGTAGTCGAGTGCTTTTATAAGGGAACACCTATGCGGCCAGAAGCTGAATCTATCTACTACTATAGGTATATAACAGGTGCTGATGGGGTAGTAGTAGTTACTATAAATATATAAATGTAGTAGCAGTTACTAGTGAAATGTAGATATAATAGCAGCGACTTAATATTAAAGAAATATAGATGTAATAGTAAAGACTTAGAAAGCAAGTGTATAATATAATTTAGTCTTCCCGGTCTCGATTTTTCTCTTCTCCGCTTGATATGGTAAGTTCTTGAAAGCGCAGGTACCCGCATTCTTAGCGTCACGTGAATCTCCATAGACGAGAAGAGATTATTTTTGCCGACGCGCTTCTTGCCCAGGAATAATTTTTGATCGTTACTCTTGTTCACACGGCATGAAATGTCTATTCGTGCAGCCGTCGATTGACAGAGCTACAGTACAAGAATGGTAAGTGTAAAAAACAACAAGTTACCATTTCCTTTTTAATCATTCGCACTATGATGTATTCATTTCGATGAATTCTGCAATGCTCAAGGTCATCTTGGCTTCAAGCCAACTTGACCGTATGAGGACAATTTCACCCCTGAGTCTCAACATCACAACACGTCAAATCGCTTGTAAATTGCAAGTCATTATGCTAGTTCTAACAAATCATGGACCAGAAACCGCCTCAGCTCGCCTGTATCTAGGTGTTGTGCGGGACGTGGGCGGGATATCGGCTGCCGGCGACTTCAAACGACTCGATGATGGCGTCAATCTTCTTCACCTCCTCTTCCGTCAACTTGATCAACTTGGAGTTCTCCTCCACTCGTGCCGCTGTTGTTGCGCCGGGGATGGGGATGATGGTTGGTCGTCCTGGGCGGTTGCTCTGGCTGTGCACCCAGCCGATGGCGAGCTGAGCCGGGGTGCAGCCCTTGTCCTTGGCGAGAGCCTCAACTTGAGCGACTAGCTGGAGATTGTGGTCAAAGGCGGCCTTTTCGAAGCGGGGGAACTTGGAGATGAATCCAAAGCCCTGGACCTGTGATACGTCCTTGAATCTACCGGTGAGGATCTGTGATTTCTGGAGTCAGCTTATGTGCCAGATGGTGCGAGTGGGGTTCGGTTCTCTTGGGGTTGAACTTACTCCCCGTCCAATAGGAGAATAGGCAGTAATGGGGATACCGTGCTCGGCACAGGCCGCAGCAACGCCGTTGGTGAGAATATCCGGGGTAAACATGCTCATCTCGACCTCGACGGTACCGATCTTGGCAATCTTGGCCGCCTCCCGAATGGTTTCGGCGTTGCATTCAGAGAGTGCAATGGCGCCGAGCTTGCCAGTGTCGATGTACTCCTTCTGGATGACTCCAAAGGTCACTTCCAGAGGGACGTTGGGGTCTCTTCTTGTGCAGCTGAAGAGGTCAAGCTTCTTGGTTCCTCCTAGCTGGTTGATGATGTTGTCGAGCGAGCGTCGAATGCCCTCTGGAGATGCGTCGAGCTTATGCGTAGCGAGATCCGCTCCACCCTTGATGATGAGCGTAATCTTGTCGGCATCTTCCGGATATTTGGTGAAGTATTCCTTGAGTAAAGTCATAGAGTTCCACTCGGGTGTGCCGTAGAATTCGCCGCCGTTCCAGAGGGTCATGCCGTTTTCCACTGCTGCCTTGAGGGCGGCAAGTGCCTGGTCCAGAGGAGGACGCTCTGGTCGCCAAGTGAATCCTAAAACGAGGTATCAGTACGCACTGCTTTTGTTTAATCGAGAGTTTCGAGCAGACTTACCCATGAGGCCGTAGCCAATAGGACCAACGCTCTTGTTGATAACAGTGGCCATGTTGTTCAGGTGTGTGTGTTTGTATGGCAGGTATGTTGTGAAATGAAGCAGATATTATTGTCAAGATTGAATGAGTCCTTGTGTAATGAGTTGGTTGTATTGAAGCTTTGTTTGAGCTGATAATCTCATAAAAAACAACGATTCATCATCTCAACATCTCAAGGCCTCTATATATCAATCCTGCCCCGCAGCATGTTCGAGATTTTCGAGGCAATGATGTAACTAGAGGAAGTTTCCCTTTTGGGCAATCGGATATAACGAGCCTATTTCGACTCACTTATTCCGACAGCACAAACCCGTCTTTAGCGTCCCGATCTCCGACTCAAAGGCGAAGCACGACGGCTTTCTCTGTGGGATGCTGGCGCTAAACTTTGCTTTCTTCGCCTTTCCATCTGTCTCTTTGCTCTTTTGACTTTTGCTGTACCTGAATGATTTGATGTCCCGGGGTTACCCATCTGCAGATTTGCCCATCGGGCTTTGGCTCGATTGCAGCCGAAGATCTGCTTAGCAATCTCCGCGATTGCGGCGACTGGTCAATGTCTGTTATCGCACATTGATGACGACGCTGACCTGATCTGGGCCGACCCGAGATCTTATTTCCTATGCATATCATGGCGTGGCTTGCGGACATGCAGCGATTTTCTTTTGGTGGTGTCGCGACTCCGGCGTCGTTAAACCCGCCTGCAGGTGGTCTTTGGGCTGCGGAGTTAGCTTGCGATATGCGCGAGACATCGGGACGTTGTGACAATTGCATGGTATGATTTCGAATTAACTAACTAGCAAAAAGAAGGCTCCAAAAATTACACAGTCTTGAGCGAAAAGCCAGAAAACGACACGGCAATCTTGTCCCTGGCGTGGCCCTCGCCCGACTCCTCCGTCGGCTTCGCGCCGTAGATGCCGACTTCAATCTCCTTGGCCAAACCCTGGGCATCATCTTCGTTAAACGCCCAAGTCACCTGTCTCAGCGCGCGCCTCGTCTTGCCCTCGCCCTCTACCACGTACACCCACGCATCGGTGCCGTCCCTCTCCACCAGGATCGTGGCCTTTGCGTTGCCCGTCTGCCGCTCCGTGATGGGGCTGAGGCTCCAGTCGGAGAGCACGTCCGTGGCCACGACGCCCAGCGCGGGCGTGCCGTCGTTGAACTCGATGCCGGCCTTGATGAAGCGCGTGGCGTTGGGGTTGTGGCGGTTGGGGAACGTCACGACGAGGCCGCCCTGGTCGTAGAGCGTCTTCCAGGGCCCTGTGACGGTGACTTGGACGCTCTGGAAGTGCGCGGCGGCAACTGTGGTGTAGAGGTAGGGCGCGGTGAAGTTGTGCTTGGAGAGGGCGGGACGCCAGATGTCGGTGTCTGGGGGCACTTGGATGGTGAGGGAGCGGCCGATGGGTGAGACAGCTTCGACGCCGGGGTTGTTGAGCCAGTGCCATTTGAAGCTCGAGGTTGAGGCCGAGGCAGAGGCCGAGCCGGCGAGGAGCCATGCGATGTTGGTGAAGAGCATCTTTGTGAGGTGTGTGAGAGAGTCGAGTATGAACTGGTGAGTATCGCGGCTTTGAGATGGCTTGCTCGTGAGGAGGAAGTGTCTGTGTCTTGAGCTTTTTATTGATCCATTCGTCCGGTTCTGAGTCTACTTGTCCCTCTATATATACAGCTTTTGGTTACAGTTACACCACATATATGCATCACTGACATATAGTATGACATCCCCACACTCTCATCCTTTTCAGCTCTCACCAAGCTGCACAACAGCTCCAATGACGAATGCCGGTTAGGCATCCCTGCTGTGCGGGGTGACTTGGGACATTCGATCCCATCAATTGAGCATAAATTTTACGTTGCAGAACTAAACTCGGGGAGTGTCGCTTTCGGAATCTAACCGTCCCTACGCCTTACGGCTACAACCTCCCTGCGCAGATTGTCAACCAATCCGGTTGAATTGGACAAGGACATGATGCCATTCTCGGGGCTGAGAGGCGGACCTGCACGTTTCGGTCCGACGAGAATTGACCTGATGCCCGTTGTGCTCGGCACTGGGGAAACCATTCGGTGGAAATCATTGGAGGAAAAAAAAAGGAACTGAAAGAATACAGTAATCTACTACTGCCATTTACAGGAAAAGCCTGTCAGCCGCTTGATGCCTCTACTCTGATCCTCGCTCTCAACCCGTCGACGCAATACCCCAGCTGCTTTGGGCCATCCGTAAGCTCAACCTCTCTCTTCACCCACCTGCCTGCCTTGTCGTCTTCACCGCTTGCTTCCTGACCGTCCGGAGCCGTCTCCGGGAGGGCTTCGTCCTCATCGTCGCTGTCATCGTCGCCATCCTGCTCGTCAAATCCAGCCACGGGATCCCACTCCCCCGTCTCCCAAACCAGCCTTAATTTAAGGGGCGCCAAGCCGTACATCTTGCCCACGATGCCCTTGACGGCGTAAATGTCAAAGGACTTTGGGATCCTGGTGATTCTCGTCTTCTTTTCCTCTTCGGAAGCTGCCTCATAATGAAACTCCGTAGTGACGAGGCGAGCTTCGAGGAAGTTGGGGTTGATTTCCTCACGACGAATCACGTCGGGCTCGCCATACGCTTCACAGAGCTCGTTGTACCGCGGGTGTAAGATTTTGATGGAGTCTTCTGCAGCTTCGGGTACCGTAGCCAGCTGCTTCGCGATGCGCGATAGGTAGAACATTTCGGCATTGGTGCGGTCCGTGGTGGTGATGTGTGTAAAGTTGAGCGTTTTGAGCTGAGAAATACGAGCAACGGTGAACATGAAGGATTCATCGGAAGATTGTGCATTGGAATCGGCATCCATGGAGTAGTAGATGGGATTGTGGGTGATGCGGAGCCCTATCATGCCGGGGAATACGGCCGGTAGTTTATCGACAAACTCCCAGCTGTCTATCTTGTTGTAAGAGAGATCGACGTATTGTACTGATGGAGGGAAAACGACATCGTTAGGGCCGGAAGAAGATGTTATGATTGAGATGTTGTTTCCCTTGAGCTGCAGATAGCGAAGATTGTTGAGAGCTGCAAGACTGGCAATGTCTGACAAGCTCGTGAAATCATTGTACTCCAAATTGATCGATGTCAGAGTTGACGGTAGGCTGTCTTGGACTATAGTTGGTAAAGTCGACAGCTGGTTCGACCCAACGAGAAGTGTAGTCAAGGAAGGGCATTTGCTTGCCACTAAACACGACTCTTGCCAGCTCATCAACGTCTCTCCTAGCTGCAGCTCAATCACTCTGCCCAGGACCGACTCTGCGCCATTGAGAGAATCATCGGTGAGGATATCCAGAAACCTATTTCCACTACAAGAGTGAAAGAGAAATCACAAGTCAGCATGGCAGTAGAAGTATAGCAGACAACCACACGTAGTCGAAAACTTACTTGATGCTAAGCTTCTGCAAATCCTTCAAATCTCGACAAATCTCCAACACCGGCCCAAACCGCTCAAACAAGTTCCTGCTCAAATCCAACTCCACAATCTTGGGCGCCGTCTCGGCAATCGTCGCCGCGACGCCCTCCTCGTTGACATCCCCCTCCGTCCTCGCCACCGCAACCCGCAGGCTGTCGAGAATCACAATCTTGGTCTCCCGCAGCCGCGACTGTCGCCGCCAGATCTTGTCAAAGCCCATCTCCTGGGCGACCTTGCCCGAGATGACAATCTCCATCTTGGACTTGCCCTTGACCGCCCCCGGCGCATCCATGACGTACCGCTCGTTGAGGGCGGCGAGGAAGCTCTGGGGGGCGTCTGCCGGACGAGTTGGCCGGACAAACGAAGCGGCGGTGGGGGATTTTGATTTGCCTGCGTTCTCATCGCGTCAGCCAATGGAATACATAAAACCTTCATCTTTCAAAAGAGAGGGATCAAAGCAGTACATGTAAAGTAGCGAGTGCCCTTGTGAGAGCCATCGTGTTTGCCTCGTGCGGCATCATCCCACTCGACGCCTAACCAGCTGCCCGTCGTGCCCGCAACCCCGCCGACAAAGCGCACCGTGCAAGCTGCGCCATCGTATGAAATCCGCTGGCCGATGTGATGAGTTTCGCTCATTTTTTTTTTAATATGTTTATGAGATGAGTGTCGGCGAGGGCATGTCTGGTTGTGAGATGGGAGATGAGGTGGGATATAAAGGAGAGAAAAAAAGCAGACGGTCAAGTCAGGCAGCAGAATTTGGCCAACCTGACGCAGGCAGCGATTATCGCCCTCCGACATCCACATTGAGGCATCAATCATTTATTACACAGGTTTGTATACAGTTTCTCCTTTTTTACATCAATTGGTTCACTAATCTGACAATTGAATTCATCATCCAATCATTTCACCTTCAAGGCTCATCTGACAGAAGCGCGTTAAATTCATTGTTTCGCTAAAGGACCCATCGCGGGGTCTCTCTAAAACCAGTCGTCAAAATGGCACATTATTATACAATTTACAGCTTTCCCTTGATGTCTCCCAGGATGTTGACCAAGGCACGGCCGTTGCTCAAGCACACCTTTCCGCCCTCGACAGCAACAACAAACCGAACCTCCTCAAACTCTCCCTTCTTCTCTCCTGTCCTCCAAACCTGAGTGATGAGCTTGTCGCCGGGCAGCACGGGGCTGGCGAAGCGGGCCTGGTACTCCTTGAGATTGGCAGGATCGCTGCCGCCTACAGCCTTGAGGATGGCGTGGGCGGTAGAGTTCCACGAATACAGACCGTGCATGATGGCGCCTGGGAAGCCCATCTTGACGCCAGGCTCGGGGGTGGCGTGCAAGGGGTTGTAGTCGCCATTCAGACGGTACAGGTGAGCAGCCTCCCTGGAGATCTGGTTCTCCAGCACCCAGTCGGGCTTCTTGTCCTTGGGGGGAGGGAAGTTCTCGGTGGCAGGGCCCTTGGGACCGCCCCAGTTGCCCTGGCCAACGTAGAAAGCGCTGCCGAAGAGACGGGTGTAGACTTCGTTGGTGTTGGCATCGACAAGCTCGAGCTGGGTGTCGACGACAGAGCCGGGACGGCCCTTGTCGTAGACGCCGAGGACCTTTTGGCGGATCTCGAACTTGTGGCCCTCGGAGGAGACGGGCAGGGGCTTGAGGAACTCAATCTTTCGCTGGCCGTCGACGACGCGGCGGGAGTCAAAGTCGGGAACGCCGGGGACCTTGATCTTCTTCTGGGCGGCGTAGAAGTCAATCACTTCCTGTGTGTCGCCCTTGAACGCTGTTTCGCCCAATTTGTCAGCTCTTACACACACAAGGTCAAGCCGGTCGGTCAAGGGGATGACGGCAATAGGCCACTTACGCAGGATGACAGGATAGGTAGGGAAGACGGCAAAGTTGGGGTGGAGTTCCTGGCGGACGGGATTGTCAATTGTGGCTTTCTTCTCTTCTCTCTTCGAGATCAACCAAACTTACGTAGAGGAAGTGAAGCTCGTCGGCAGTAGCGCCGATAGAGTTTGCGAAGAGCAGCACATCGCGCTTCAGCCAAGAAACGGACTGAGGAGGATACTCGAAGCCGACACCAGGTCCAGACATTGTGAAATGCTTACAACAGAGAGGCTGAATTGAAGTTGAGAGGAAGCGGATACAGATGCAAAATGCAGGTGGGAAAAAAAAAGATTGGGGATGTCGGCTGGCTTAAATGATGGAATGGACAAGGTGAGCCTGGTCACTCAACTCACAAGCCGAGGCTCAGTCTGTGGGGAAAAGCTTCGGCCGGGGACACGAGATCGGCAGCCGAGCAACCCCGCGAACTCATCTCCGGGTGGCGCTGCAGAGATTAGATGATCTGATAATCTTACAGTTTCTTCTTTCCCTACGTTTCTAGAGAGACTGTTTGGTCGTAAAAGAGGCACAATTCGAGGTCCTGACTCTTATAATTCGTTGTTGTACATGGGCTTAGATAGCGGGAGATACATTAGCTGGTACCTTAGCATGTAGCTGCTCACGTCAGTCGTCAATTGGATGTGGAATCATACATGTGACTATCGATAAGCGATAAGCGATAAGAACCACACGCACACACATTCAGTGCCTCTGTACGGTACAGTAGAGTTGCAATTCTGGCCAGTCAGTCACGCGATACAGCGCATTCGCATCCCGCCTCCAATAGGAAACCATGGAACCCGTCTCTGTGCATGAAATCAGCTGCGACCTTTCCTGTGCCTACCTCTTCTCATTTGGCATATTCCTGCAGCATATTTCGACCAATACCAACCTGCTAAAGGGCCCGCCGTATCCCCCTGGCCCTGGCTGCAACGCCCCGAAAAGGCAGGCGATCAAAAATACGACACGATGACAGTTCTCGCCCAGAATTCCAGCTTCACAACAATCACTGCATAGTTCAACGTCTCTACCTTTATGATACAAAAGTGAGTGCACAAAAGAAAACTTCATTCTTGCCGTAAGTAAGCTAGGTATGCTAAATGGTTGGTAATACAAAGAAGAATGCAAAAAGAGTGTGGTTGTCCGAATTTCATAACGTCATACGCTGTGTTGTTGGAACTGTTGTTTCGTCCTGCTGCGTGCAAATGGGCACATCAGCATCAACCCAGTCTACCCTTGGCCTTTTCGCATTCCTCGAGAAATCGATAGATGCCTTCCAGGCCCTCATACTCCTCAGAGTGCTGCTCCGACTTGGTCGGAGGCGACATGCTTTCATAACCGTCCGTCTCTGAACACCAGGGATCCTCCGAATTTTCATAGGCGAATGCTTCATGGACGAAAGATTCATCGCCGAGCGAGGATATATCATCCAACTCATTTCCCTCCAAAGACCCCTCCGACCCTCCAGGGGACGTCAAGGCCTTTTCAGTGTCTGGTGCAAAAGGAAATTTGAGTGCCGTTCTAACGCCACCGGTGCTCTCAAAACCGATGTCTTGGCTGACAATGCCCCTTTGGATGCCAATGTCATCGCACAGCCGCTCGACTGTTTCAACATCAACACCCGGAAATCGGACTCTGAGCAAATTGCCAGATTCTAGGGATATCGGCAAATCACCCAAGGATGAGAGACGCTCAAGGTCGGCATAAATGGCCGTCAGATCTTTCAAAGCACGGCCGAAATCTGCAGACAGGACATCGAGGAATCCCTCGGTGTTGAGGCTTGGGATAGCGGCCTCAGCCTGGAAGCCAGAGGCGCCAGAAGCCTGGACAAGAGCGGCAGCAAGAGGGCTCATAGCCGTGATGGTTGGGCTCAGTTGAAAGTCGACATAGGCGCCAGGAGCAAACTTGGGGATGGCAGCCAGCTTACGCATAGCCTCATCCTCGAGTACGGATACGGCCCGGTACTGAGCCTCACCCCGTGGTCCTGTTCCATCATATCGGATTCGTTGTCCCGAAAGGAAAAAGGCCCTCATTGCCTGAGAGACGTTCTGTACGACCTGGGCAGGGGCCGTGGGCGTATGAGAGAAGTATCGGGCACCTCCGCCCAAGCTATAGCCACCGGCAGTTCGGGGCATAGCTCCGCCCGTCAAATTGGGTCGCAGAGCACTCGCAAAAGGTGCTCGGCCGGAGAACTGAGCAACTTGGCGGGAAGTGTTGGAGCTCGGGAGCTTGGATCGATCCAGTCGAGGAGCACTGCTCTCGGAGCTGAGGTATCGTCGGACAACCTTGTTTGCATTCTTCGCCGCGTTGGTGGAGAAGCCTCGGGTTCCTCGTGCCTGTTGTTTAACGAGGTTCGCTGGGTGAATGGATTGTCGACCGCCTTTGGCCGACACAGGAATTGGTTGAACTGCTTGGTTCTGAAACGGCCTCGCCGCATTGGCGAGCTTGTCCCGGACCACGGCTGTGGTCCTAGACACGGCGACTCGGAGGAGACGCAGGGCATCTGGGCCCCATATCGCCCCCGCGGACGCCATGTTGAAATTCTTTGTTTTCCTTCACCCAAAAGGTGGTTGAAAGAGGTTGAAGATGGCTCCAGGAGAGATGATGGGAAGTGACGGACTCTCTTCTCCGTATATAAGTTCGGCAATGACATTCGCCACGCAAGCATGCAGCGCGCTAATGCGTTGGCAACACCGCCACAGATTAGATCTGCGCCACAGATGCGGGGCTGAGGCCGCCTAGTTCCAAGCTGGGACTAGCGCGGGCTTCTTTATTTTCTACTTTTCTTCCGTCGAGAAATTTTCCAAATTTTTTTTTCTTCTTTCTTTCTTTACCTCACAAACCACCAGAAGCTCTATTTCGGAGCTGCAAGTGCACGCTTGGGTACGAGCTCTGGTGGTTGGACTTGTTTTCATGGTAAGCTACACTCTTTTCCCTTTCAACGCGCCTTACATGATGCTTTATTTTCATGAACAATCCAATTCATACCAGACCATGGTGACTCTGTAATTTTTTACAACTTACCTGAACGAGCTTTGGATCGCATCTTTTTCAGACTCTTTGCCATTCGCGAGCTCTGCTAACGCGTCCCAGATGTCCAGGAAGTAGGGCTTTTACCCCCTCGATCCACCCACGATTCTCTACATTTTCAAAAGGTTGGTAATTTTTTCTTTCCATCTGCTTTAGCTATTGTCGAGTGGCTTGTTCTGTGTGATGAACAATTGACACCTTAGGGATTCCTCATGCTTAATATACGATGTGGATACCGTGTTTGATAAGTTTCAGCCTTGTCTGATCAGAACTATTTACAATTTCTACTGTTGTCGTCTTTCGTTGTCAAAGCTGTTTTGCTAACTCGGACTGTCAACAGGTAATTCCATTCTCTCTCGCATCTCAACCTATCCCACATGATGAAAATTTGAACGAACGGGCGGACATATCGAGCCTTGCTACTCTTCATCCCTGAGAAAGCGAGGACGTACAACCCTCGTGGTGAAGAGGAGTGAGAACTCAGGATGAGAACTCGTCACCTGATCGTGGTTCATAGGAAGCGGTTCCTTGTTCAAGCTGGGATTGTGCATGTCAGCTAACTCGTACAATGATAGGTACTTATTATACAAAGCGTTTTCCTCATCTTGCTGCTGTATCTCTGTGATGAAATGTTATTATTTTGTATTCACACTGTCTGATTTCCGCGACTCCTTCGGGAGTCGTTGGATATGAACAAACCTACACCTTCTGATAAGTAAGTGCAGCCACCACACTGCCGATTGCCTGTACACGTAGCTAACCAGTGGATAGACGAATCATGTCAATGTTTTGCTGTGTTTGCTGTACTGTCGCTGGACTGAAGCTGACATTGTATGAAGCAATCTAGGTGAGACGCATCGATGTCTTTCACGGTTGATAAAATGGTATGTGTTTTATTCTTTTTCTTATCACTTTCACGCCCTACCATCATGATGACTTTCATTATTATCTACATTGGCCGAGTTCCTCGTGACGAAAACAAGTTTCACCTTGGAGAACTGATATGGTTTCATAATCACCATTACTTGAAACAAAGGACAGTAGAGTAGTGGCTAACTTTACTGCTTTAGATACCATTATGAAGCTGCGAGATGTTTATCAGAGCTATGGCGTTGTTTGTTTGCTCGCAGACATCATGAGCCTTCATTCTAGTATATACTGGTAATTGAAGCTTATGGTGTCACACTGGTATAGCATATGCATAACAATAATAATATACCCAATTTATGAACTATTTAGTCTATCCGCATGTTCGCTCGTGTGACCCGAACTCTTCTCTTGTCACTTCCTAATCATGTTCCATGTGAAGCTGGTAACACAACAAATAACCACAACGTATCATCCATTTCATCCTCGACTCAATCATCTTCAAGGGAGCTGTAACCTCGCATTCCAGCCAACGATGCACCTGATAAGGTCCCAATCACCATTCGCACCCACCCAATCCGTGACGACGATGCCGGTGCTCGCCGCGCCGACCTTGAGCTGCTTAGGCCCCTTGCCGTCCTCGCCGTGGCGGATGCAGAGATACTCGACAATGGCAGGGTTCACCTTGGCCGCGATCCTCTCGGGCCAGCACGTCGCATTGAAGAAGTTGCTGCCGCTCAGGAAATTGACAAAGATGGGGAGAAGCGCAGGATCCGGGTTATGGTCATGGTCAGGCCCGATGACGTGAAACTCACGCTCGGCAGAGCGCTCCAGCTGGCCGCGGCTGTAGTCAATCTTTCGCTCAATGTTCTGGCTTTCGGTGACGTCGTAGAAATCCTGCACGCGGATGTGGCCGCCTTCACACGTCCCGTCCTCGCAGTTGTCCGGCCAGTGCTGGCCGTCGATTCCCCAGCCGCGGCCGTCCCAGCATGTGCGGGACATGTCCTCGTCGAGGCCGAAGCGGCGGACGATGATGATGCGGCCTCTGGCCTGACCTAGGTTCGGGATCCGGGGCTCTGTCCACCAGCGGTCCGGGTGCTTGTCGACGTAGCCGGCCTTGAGGTAGCGGCTGAGGTGCTGGTCGGTGCCGCGGCCGGCGCCCTCGCGCTTGACGCTCATGAGGATGGTCTCGCTGGGGTTGGCGTCGAGAAAGCGGAAGATGTCGTCTACCATGTCGTGGAAGTACTTGATGCCGGTGAGGGACACGGGGAAGACGGAGTGGACTAGGGCTAGGGTGTCGTTGTCCGTGTTGACGGAGACGCGGATGTCGAGGAAGCGCACGCCGTTCTGGAGCTGCTCAGGGACGCCGACGGATTGGCAGCGGACCGAGGGCAGGGCAGTGTGGCATGTCGGCGAGTTGTGAGTGCCAGGGATGGAGAGCATGGGCAGCGGCCAGGCATCGTCCAGCTGCTTCATCCAAGCATGAAGCTTGGCCGAGGAGAAGATGGCGAGAAAGGCACCCGTAGGAACATAGACAACAGTAAGGTCCAGAGCATCATCCCCATCGTCATCACCATCAATCCTCTTCATGACGGCCGACTTGCGCGAAGGACTGGGCACGTCCGTCTCATAGCGGCGGTCGCCGGCCCGGAAAGTCAGCCGGAGGACCTCGCGGCCGGCGGGATCGGCGGAGCGGACGTCGGTGCGGACGGTGCGGAAGGGGTCCACGTGGAAAGAGACGTCACGAGCATCGTGCGAGTCGCCCTTGGGCAGGATGTGATGGGCGGAGAAGTCGGTGGCGTTGATGAAGCCGGAGATGACGCCGGTGACGTTGGACACGACGCTGCCGGTGCGTTTCTTCTCGCCCTGGAAGCGCTGGATGGAGATGAGCTCCAGGGGCGTGATGGTGAGGTTGCGGATGGTGAGGTCGGCCATCGCGGGGGGGGGGGGGGGGGGGGGGGGG